CTATTCTCAAGTTCAACGGGGGGAAGGTTCATGTGTGACACACCGGGCAACGCAGTCGAAGCCCTGTGAGCCAAAACTGAGAGGTTGGCCAGGAGTTGGCAAATCTGCGAAGATTTCATCTGGTCTCCACCGAGACCAGCTGCTATATAGCGGCCTGTTTCAAGACATCACATCTTTGAACTGCTCAAACTCACGAAGCCAACTCATCTGGCCCAACAGTTCGGATACAAACTCATCTGATTCAGTGGGCCGCTTCGGATGGACCGGATGTCTTTGGCCTCGACGCAGCGCAGCGATCGCCCAGCGGCTCGTGCTCGAGCGCCTGACCGCGACGCGCGTGCCGGAGACATATGAGTGCTCAAGTCCTCAGGTTTTACACTCCCGAGACTTGGACCCTGGCGTCGTTTCAGCCCCCTGGATGGTTTTCCTCTACCAACCGGTTTTTAGATGTTTTAAGGGTCCAGGGTGAATCGTCTTCCAGGGTGTAAGTCTTGGTCTTCCTTGGAACAAACGAAGTGGAGACTTGCGTGCCCGGACACGCTCCACTGGAAGGCCCAGCGGTGCCTCGCCTTCGCGTTTGGGCCTTTGGGTACCACAATCCAAGTCGGGGAAATGAGCCAAACGGACCGTCCGATTCGGTCTACCCGAAACCGATTCGACTCTGGGAATCTGCAAGTCAGATAATGGGATGATAGGGGTCCCAACCCCCGCGATTTTGTGAAACCCTAACCCCTTATATGAGATGCATCTCAAAACAAATTGAGATGCATCACCAATGGTTTCCACCAGCAAGAAACACGGCAATGTCACTGCGGTCGCCTCCAGCTCGCCACAGGCCTTGCAACCGAAAGAGTTGTTGAAGGTTCTTGGTTCGAATGGCGTTGCGTTGGATGAATGCACTCTCAAATGCGGTGTCATAATGCAGATGTGTCCTGATGCTTCACATCTTCATAATTCATAAACATTTTAACATTTAACATCATTTAACCATCTGCAACGCTGCAAAGCTTTTGAATCGGACTGGCCCTTTCTTCTCGTACTCATGGATTGCTGCTTCTTGCTGTGCGAGTCGACTCGTACTCATGACTCCTACTCGTCTGTGAGCAGCGCCGTGCCCGCCGTGGCCGCCGTGGCCTTGCATTGGCCCGGCCCAGCGCGGAACCCGCAGATCCTATTCAAGGTGCCGCTCACGATCCATGTCCTTCTTTGCCACGGAGAGCGCCTGGATTAGGTCTTGAAACTCGTCAGGAAGCTTTTGAACATCTTCCAGGAAGCCAGTTTCAGTCACGCCATCAAGCCTGGACACCTGGAACTCTGTCAATTTCTTTTCCCTCTCCTCAAGGACTTGATAGCCCTGAGCCACATTGGAATCGAATTCTGGGTCCGCCCAGACGTCAACCTGCTTTAGCTGCTCTTCATACATGGCATCAAAGCACTTTTTCACATAATTCTCATTGATCTTCTCACTCACCTGGTCACCTCAGCGACTAATCAAAAGACCCACCACCTCGCCCACCTGGCAGCCACTGATAACTCCACTGATAATGAGAAGCACCACGCCTGCAGGAGTGCCAAGAACAAAAGGCTGAATCCCCAGCAGCACTCCATTCCCTGCTACAAGAAGTTGTACCAGGACACCGTACGACAGTTTGGAGACTGTCTGGCCTGCTTCAAGAAGCACTGCAGAAGACCGTGCCGAACTTCCTGAACGTCATTGGCTATCATCGACTTGATGCGACCTCCAATGGCGTTCGGTCAACCTGTTCGTCGTTGCTCCCCTCGTGCTTCTTCATTAAAATGTGGCACGTCAGCCCCTAGAAGTGCTTCAAAATGCTGATCCTTCCTCTCACAGCACTTTCCGGATCTCGCTCGCTCGGTTGCTCAGCCAGTCGTCCTTGCTTGCCGCCAACTTCTGCATTTTATCTTTTTCCTCTTGCAAAAGCTCGGTCAACTCAGCTTGCCTGGTTTCATCCAGCAGCAGAGCCTCCACGGTCCTCATTGCATCTTGCACTGAATTCACAGCAAGGATCAAGCGCTTGGCTTTGAGCTCCGCGCTGGACTTCCATCTCCACTGCTTTCCACTTTGGCAAAAGCTTCAGGGTGCTTCTTCTTT